CGTCAAGAAAAACAACCATCGGTCCAACTGTTAAATCGCATTTTTTATGAAACCGTGTCTTCCATATGGTCCCAGATCGGAAAGTGCTTAAGACGATTACTATAATATCGCATGTATCATTTTCTTATAATACAACGTTTCAAACGAGATAATAACCGTTCGACGTTTACATAATTACCAGGTGATTTTACATGTTTATTTAAGTCTGCCCAAGTGTTTATACCGAACAGGGCTATACGTCTTAGCTGTCGAAGAAACGAACGAATTCACTTTTCTTCTGTTTGCACGTGTTCGTCACGAAATCGATATTTTTTCCGTCAACGTGTCTCGACGATTCGACTTTTGATGGTGTTCCTATGCCAGTTACCAAACGAACCTTATCTCGGCCAATCTCCCTAACGAGTTTAACGACGTGCAGAGGCATATCGTATCGGTAGAAATTGTCCTGGGCTTTAAAATATTCACAAAACACGGACATCCATTCATTTAATAACAATAGTCGGAAATCAAGCTGTCTGCATCAGGGATCGTCGGGTCCCGGCACTTGAAATCGGTTTATTTTACGAAAAAGACGACCTCAGCTGCCACGTGCAAAGCCAAAAGCGTTACATCGAACAGCAATCGATATTTAACCTCTCACCGGCGGCGATCGTGAAAACGAACAACAAGGAAGTAAACGCACCACCGTCATAAAACAAACCACAACATTGTAGCACGACTGATGTTACATTTTGATCGTACCACCGCCTCTGTCGTTTATATTTCAATCCGAACGAGCATTTCCACCTACGCTGTCATTCGCGTATATCTTGCCGTTCGTATTTTCCGTGGTCTTTTTCGCAAAAAAAAAAAAAAAAAGGGAGAAGAAAAAAGGAAAAAGAGAAGAAAAAACGTGACAAGTCTCTCGCTAAAGTACCCGGCCACTTTGACCGGCCAACGAAAAATAAACGCGTCTATCTTTTGATTTGTCTATCGAAAATACGCTCTACGAATTGTCGAGATAAGACTTTTCGAGAAATTTCGAAATTTGCGAAATTTCAGACTGTAGCGATAATAAACTCTTTGCTAGATGCTTACGGAGTTACGGGGAAAACGAATGAACTCGTTAATTGACTTTCCAATCTGCCGGATATAATAACAACTTTTTTATTCACAGATGCACTATTTTTGAATGCGTGGTGTTCCATCGCTATCAGAAACGAAATATCATCGGACAAAACAATGGAGAAGAGAGAAAAAGCAACTTCTATTTTCCCCCCCCCCCCATTC